ATGTGTTCAGTGTACAAAGTGTTCAGTGTGTGATGTGTTCAGTGTGTGATGTGTTCAGTGTATGAAGTGTTCAGGTTGTGATGCGTTCAGGGTACAATGCGTTCAGGTACCTGAGTGAAGATGTTGTGCGTCTGGCTGAGGATCCAGCGGGTGTCGGCGTCAGGGGCCACCAGCAGCTTTAAGGTTCCAATGTAAACATCGGTACAGAGGGTCCAGAAGTGAGGCTCCTGCAGGTTGTAGACCCCCTGCAGCTGCTGCACCTGAACCACACACCAGCAATTAGACACAGCCCTCACAGGAAGTAGTCATTTCATGGGATCAGGTGGGTTTATTGGGAGGTACGAACCCTCTGGTAGCACTCGGGCAGGGCGTGGTCCAGGGAAGGCGGGGTTCTCTGCATCARGATGCCGATGGACTCCTTGAGGAGYGGCACCACGCTGAGGGTCAGAGGAGAACGTTAGAACCAGAACCTTCAGCCTGAAACGCTGCAGCTCAGATCATCTGTACATGTTTCACTCATGACTCCCACTTTCCAGCTGCAGCACAGAAACATGATCTGTGTGGTTCTGCAGAGGCCCCTCAGCTGACCACAGCTCTGCTCTGCTGACTCCTCAAATATGCAGCTTCCAGTCAGCATCCATCAGATTCTCAGAAACCCACAGCGCCACGTCTCCAAAGCAGGACCAAACTCCGGGACCGTTTCCAGGTCCGTGCCGGTGGTTTGGCACGTTGAAGCCCATTAACTGCTAAACGTTAGCCCTAACCATTTTCCACAGCTTCCATCAGGTTCTGATTGATTCTGTTCTTCCAGGGTCCGTCCTCCGGAGACTAAACCTGAGACGATCCAGATGGCCAGCAAGTCCAACTGAGACACTGTGGAGGTCTGAACCTGGACTTAGAGTCCACCTGGTCCATCATTTTGAAATGTAAAGACTCTTTAAGTCACTGAGAAGGTGGGCAGCAGAATAATGTGCGCAGCCACGAGTAGAGTTTTACAAACTGACCTGTTCTTTATGGGATAAATCTTGTGCCAGCAGGAGCTGAATTTAAATTTCTCAGATTGAATCTGAGTGTGCTTCATCTGAAATTTAAAGCATTGGTTTGAAAATGAAATTTACTAAATTGAAACTGAATTTAATGATTTGATTTTGAATTAATTTGCTTTGAAACTGTATTTTGGTTTATTACAGGGTTCCCACACCTTGGCCAACATCAAATTCAAGGACTTTTCAAGGACTTTCCAGTACCAATTTCCTCAAATTAAAGAACCACGCGCAACGGCAATTACCTACTGCCATCAAAGAATGTTACCAATAAACAGGTTTAATATCATGGAAATTCAATGAAAAACTGAACATAGAAGTTGTTAGTCAGAAACAATGACGTCAGTTTACCGTAATCATAAGTTATCCACCGCAACAAATGCACGTTTTTTTAAATTAAATTTTATAAATTACTTTTTTAAAAGATGATGAAAATCAGTTGTGTGAATAGAGAATTTCAATCCCCAAAAAAACATTCAAGGACTTTCACGGTCAAGTGTAATTTTTGGCCGTTTTCAGGAACTTTCCAGGGCCTTGAAATCATTTTTTTTTCAAATTCACAAACTTTCAAGGATTTCAAGGACCTGTGGGAACCCTGTTATTAAAAATTCATTTTGACTACTTTCACTTTCAGTTCCATAATTCAGATTTTTGTGTCACATCC